TCACACATCCTCAAGGAATTCAAGGATGGCTTGGGACAAAATTGGACTAAGAAAGCAAACTACTATAATTCCTCCTCTGCATATTGCAAATGTGAGCCAGTTAGAAAGGTAATTAATTAACTAGCAAATTGATCAATTAATTCATTTCTAAATTTTCTAGAGGTCAAAAGAATCAAACTCTAAAAGTCTTTTCATCTCTGTCCAGCTAAGTGATAAAGAAGCTCACTGAATATTCAACTATAACTTCTTTCTCAGGGAAGAAACTGCATCATTTTTGTACCAAGAAATTGTGCCTAGAAAATCTATTATTTCTTCGAAAAGTACAAAGTATATAATTTGTTTTAAAAAATCTTTAGACAACCTGCTTCTAGAAAGTCAACATCATGGGTTTTGGGGCATAATTTGCACCACTTGGGCCCTGACAGAGATCCCAGAAAAAGACTCAGAGGAACTGCGTAATGGACAGGCTGTCCTTCTGTGTACACGGAGAACTATCTGAAGGATGCGTATCAACTTGATTTTACTGAATATGTGAAATATTGGGCAGTTACTCGAAGAGACTTCCCATGGTGAAGACTCCAGTGTTTGAATGGTTTGACTTTATTTCTGTAAGGGAAAACCTAACCTGAAGAGGGTAAAACCCAAATATACCTTCACAAATCTGCATAAAGTCAGTTAGGTGCATCATAAGGATAAAATGTCTCAAGTCATGGATGCAAAATGAATGCATCTGTGTGATTTGTTATAACATGTCAAGGGCCAAGGCACCCGGCAGAGAACTTCATGTTTCCTTTCAAAGACATTCGCCTGTTCATCCCCTCATCTCCTCCCTCTTCTTCCCTTTGCTGACTTCTTTCTTTGCCTAAAACAAAGCAGAACTAAACAGAGCCCGCCTCTCAGGAAGCCAGGTGAGCTGCACAGTGGCATCTGGAAAGTCGTGCAGCTGTGGCCACTTTGCCTCAGTCACTACCGGGTGGGCAGCAAGACTTACACGTCCGGGACTCATCTGGCCGCCTTGGTTCTGAAATCACATCTGCAATGCTGCTATTTTTATATAGCGGCTTTGATGGGGTAGTCAGAGAAGCCAAGACTTCAGCAATATAATAATTACTGTTCTAAATGAAGTACAAAGTTAACCAAATACAGAAATTCTTATTTGCTATGAGGACCGCCGTGTCCACTGTTTCTTAGCTATTAAAACTCTCTGCTGTCCTACACTGTATTCAGGGTTGAGATGGGCTTTGTTTCTAGTTATGATAATGATTTGATCTGTGGCAATATAAGTATATGTGATTTATTATAAAAATGTCTAATTTCTGTTACATTTGATTGTGTGAACAGTTATATCTAGCCTTTAATTAATGTGATTTATACAAATTGAGGCCAGCTTCCTTTTAGATTGCTTGCAGTGTTAATCACAGTGCAAACAGCCCTCACTGCTGAGCGAAAATGCTGTGCTACACTAAATTGCTTCTGTACTCTGACCACACGTGTTCCTGGTTTGTACATGTGTAGAAGAAATGTTTTGCTAATTCCACTAGAGAGATCGTAATTCATTTAGAACAACATTTGAATTTTTGTGAATTCAGATATGTCGTTGTTGAGTATTAAAAAGAAAACATTGGATGTGCTCGCTTCGGCAGCACATATACTGAAAAAAAAGGGAAAAACTCATTTCAATTAAAGAAAAGGTCATTCTTTAGCACAAGCTGAGTTTGTTGTACAGCATTCCCACTTCACCCAATGCATATCTAGTCTGTTCCACATTCTGTTAACCTCTGAGAACTGATAAATTTCTATTTAAAAATCAGCTGCTTAATGCAGTGATCTGTGATACCCATATATATAACTGTAGAACTCATAACAGCTAAATCCTGGAAGCAAAGTCCTTGTCATCACCAGATGAATGATAAAGGAAATGGGGCATTTATATCCAGTGGGCCACTACTCTGCCCTAAAGAGGAATGGGCCTGAGTCAATTGTGGGAAAATGGATGGACCAAAATGTAAAGTGAAAAAAATCAGCACACGAGCTTAAATAGTGTATGGTTGCTCTTATCTGAGAAATCCAAAAATGTAAATAAAGAGCAAAATAAAACATAGATGATAGGAAGAAGGAAAATAGATCTTTCTAAAATGAAAAGGGATCAAGAGATGGAGACGGGGGAGGGGGGTTGGAAAGGAGACAAACAGGAAAGGGAATTAGGGTCTGTTTTATGTGCGGGCACCAATGCCACACAAGGAACGCAGTATAATAAATTGGCCATATATCAAGAAATAAAGAAACAAACCGGATGCCCTTATTTATAACTTGCTTCGTTGATTGCTGATATGGCCCGATTATCTCAGAGGTTTAAATGTCGATCTGTACGATGACATGCACATTCACGTATTTGAAGTACTTTTCAACATGGAAAGGTGGACTAGTCAGGGAAGCAAATACCAGGGCGTGCATGTTACTGACATGCGAGTGACTCTGGGTTGTCCTCACATAGCTGATTCGAAAAAGTTCCTTCTGTTACAGCTTCCAAGCAGCAACACCTAGCTACAATTTTACTTATGATGCACTCAACCTTAAAATGAGAAAACAGACAGGACAGGCCTTTCTACCAGAAAACCACATTGTGTGTGGGGCCGTTTATACCGTACACTGGCCAGGTCTCTGCCTTGCCTTTTTACTTCTTTAGTCTCTCCCAGATGGCTTCACTGGGCCATTCTAAGGTAGAAGGATAAAGGTAGCACCCTCCCATTTGCTCCAGGTGTTCAGTGCAAAAAAAAAAAAAAAAAAAAGTCAGGCTTTTTGAGCTGGCACTAAGGATTCATTGTAATCTAGTCTCCCGTCAGGGTCCTCTCCTGTAGAACCCATTATATCTTCTTTCTATCTTCTGATCCAAGTAGACCAATCATATGCGGACACCATCATAACAGAGTTGTGATTCGTTCTTGTTGACCACTTGAAAACATACAACCATCTCCAACCTGTCCTTGTTCATCTTGACTAGACTTTTCCTCAGTTTCAAGGCAAATTATACATATGTTCGTCTCCCACACTATTACATTCCTTCTGTGGATTATATACAGAAATAACTTTATGTTTAACTTTACTAAAAAAGTAGAGTTTTCTTCTAACAAGTGAAGAGTTAATATTATCATCTGTCAATATGTTCTCATCTAAAACTCATTGCAGTAGATATGGTAGAAGGAAAGACATTGGATATGTTACAAAGTAGCAGACCCTGCTACTCTCTTGGATTGAGTTGGCAACAAAATAAGTAGCACAGTGATTTTTATGCCACTGAAGCTAGCGAAAATTTTTGTAAGATCAATACAAAACTAAATGCTTGATCAGATCAAAACTTGAAATGCTTTATGTTTGTTTTACCTCTCCTTTCCTCTCTCCTTGCCATCTGTCCTCTCTTCCCTCCCAACCTCTTTCTTTTTGTGAAGAGCTTCAGTATCACATATTTAGGAGTAAATCATAATTTAAACTGTTCTTTGATGAGATTATCCAATAAAGAGTTTATTCTATTATTTGACTTTATAAAACACTCAAATTATTTAGATTCTTGATGAACACAGTCATGAATTTTCTTTACACTCAAATTGGGACAAAGAGACCAAAGAACGCTGCCTTCAGAGAAAGTCACAGCCCGCTAAGGAAATCTGGGCCACCATTTCAGACTGGACTGTGGATAAAAGTGGCCAGTGCAGCTTGCAGGAGGGGGCCCTGTAAGAAGAAAGAAGTTGAAAGAAAGGGCAGGTAGACAGCTTTTAATATTTTCCCTTTGTTCTCTCTTGAGAGGAAGATTTGGTGATCATAGTGCTTTAAGATCCTGGGGTAACTCAGGGCTTAGGGAATACCTTTGTTATACTAGATCAGAAGGCTCATTGAGATCTGATTGCACGTTGGCTTGTGCACATTGCTGTTTCTATTATTTTGTTAGAAGTTTACAATGAAAGTTTTATTGGCACTGTTGGTCTTCTGGGTATACTGTGGATTTCCGGAGCCCTGGGAAAGGGCAGGACAGGATCTTCATGTGTGAAGCCGGCCATCTACCTGGTGGGGACAGCTGTGTTAACAAGTCATTCCCAAATAATGCCATTTAAGTTTGTAAGATGAAGAAAAGCAAAGCAACTGAGGCTGGGATTCAGAGCAGACACGAAGTACAGAGTGGATAACAGGAGGAGAGAGACGGGGGCGCTGTCAGCTTTCCCAGCTCCTCCTGGTGCTACTCTTAGAAGGGAAGACTTGTAAATATCAGAGAGGGATATTTGGCTGAATTAATCATTTCCTCTTTGTTTTGAAAATGCACTGTTTCTAAAATATTTCAAATCAGCATGGAAATGAGTGTAACTTGTTGAATGCATTGTATTTCATGTGGTTTTGCATCGTGTCTCACAATGGTACAGCAAAGGCAGTTCCCTGAGAACACTCACTGTAGCAACTCCTGAGTGAGATTAGGAAGTGATCATCATTTACATGCATTATACTTTGCATGTAATGAGCGTTAGCTATTAGCTCTAATTTGCTTCTCATCGTATTCATCAAAGGCGAACTATTTAGAAACTAAAACATCTCTGTCAGTTAGAATTTTAATGAACGAGGGTGAAAAGAGACAGTGTTAATTGGCAGTTGTTGCTGTGGGGCGGTGTCTAGATCTTGTAAGTGAAACCAATTCATCTCTCTATCGGGGCTAATTTGTTTGATTTAATTCTAAGTGTACACTGAATATTTCTCCAAACTGTTCATATTTGTTTCAGAATTGGAGAATAGTGTAGCTGTTGTGATCTGCTTTCATTGTGAATTTTCATTTCTCTTTGAAAATGGTTTAGTTTGATTTTCCCCAAAGTGTTGGCTGCAGCAGCGTTTGTGGTGACCCATGCCACACATGAATACTCCAGGAAAAGCGTGACTCAGACTTTCATATTTAAAATGCCCCGAACCCTCTGACATCTACTAATTTTATCATTAATGCTCTTCCTCTGTTCTGTTTTCCTTAGACATAAATGAATGTGAAGCTGAGCCTTGCAAAAACGGTGGAGTATGCACAGACCTTGTTGCTAATTATTCCTGTGAGTGCCCGGGAGAATTTATGGGAAGAAACTGTCAATATAGTAAGTATTTACATATATATGTTTATTTATATACCCTCATTTATTATGAAATCTGGTTCAAAATCAATATCGTTTGCATTCAGAGTGCATGCATAATTGATCGAAATGCCACATTCTACATTTGCTGTTCCTAATGCTATTAAGTGTACACGTGTTACCCGGGACAGGGCTCAGCACAAAACACTTGTAAGTATAGTATATGTGACCTGAAGAGAATGTCAGTGGGTCCTCAGATATCCAAGCCCACCCCCTCCGTGAATCCCACATGGGCTTTTGAGTAAGTGTATGACTTACCTTTTACTACCACTGTGGCCACTTCGGATGGGAGAGGCCCTGGAGGCGATGCCTCTATCCCAGTGAAAGTACTGGGAGAGGAAGTAAAGAAGGATTCTGCGTACCCAGCTCACCCATCAGCGAGGATTTCACAAACAGTTTGTCTTCTTGGAAAGCTAAGACAGCAGCGTTTTGAGATGATGAATTGAATGATAGGATCCTCATTTGCTTGGAGTGTTTGCGAATAGACTGAAAGTATTGCCCCCTAAAGATAAACAAACTGGGAAAAATTATTAAGTGGAGTTCACAGGATGGGGCCTACATTAGGCTGAAACACATGCGAATGAGAACACTCAGAGTGTCACTTTATAATTGCTGGGCAAGGGAGAAAAGGTCGTACACTACCAGTTGACATGAACTAGACTCCTGGGCCATCGAAATGGTGGTCTGTGCAGATTCAGAAGAAAGATGGAGATGCGAATGCAAATCCAGGAATGGAGGCACACATGCGAGGTGCTTTGCCCCAGTTCTTGCTATTAATTGGTGATAGAAGCAGAACTACTAATGATACGGGTCATTGGCTCGCCAGCTCAGTATGTTTCTTCTAAAGTGAGATTTCACTTCAGATCCGGATGATTGAGGTGTACCTGTACACCACCTTCTCTGTCTGTCTGTCCCTCTCTCTCTCTCCCTCTCTCTATCACACAGAATATATGTCCTCTTTTGAAACAGTAACACATTTTTCACGTTCCTTCTTTCCTTCTTTTCCTTTTCCTTTCACTGTTTTTTTTATAAAATAAGAATAATATGAAATGATTTGATATATACATATATATACCTGTAAACTGTCTAGTGATCCTCTTAATCTGAATAAATTTCACTAATATAAGTAAATTATGAGTATCAAACATAAGCCTTGGATTGGGAATAAAACTTTGTTAGTCCTAAAATAATGTGAGGAAGACCCTGAAGGTGAATTGAAGAAGAAAACCGCAGGGCACAGATGGATGAAGAAGACCAACAGAGGAAGTGAGCAACCACACAACCTAGACTCATGTGACCTTCCCGGCTCTCGCCAGGCTGAAGCCGGGGCTGGGGGTCCTTTTCCTTCTCAGGCGCAGAGTTGCAGCCTTTACTTCTTTGTTTCACGGGACTTGAAGGTGGCAGCTCAGTGAACCCTGGAGCCTGCACTGAGAAACCTCCAGGGTGCCTCTGTATGAACAGATTACTAAGATGTTGAGGAATAGACTGATGTTAGTGAAGTATTTTACATTTGCACAATTTGGGGCCAAAGTAGAAGACCTTCCAGGAAGCCTGGAGCCTTGGTAGAGCTGGAAGCACTGCCTGGCCCGCTTTCACACGAGGCCCAGTAAGCCCATCTCTGACTCACAGGAGCCTTCCATTTTCCTCACCTCTGAACTGTCTGAGAGACTCCTCCTGAGAGACCCGCCTTGGGACGAGTTCACTGAAACGCTGTGGCTCATGGTGTGCACTGAGCTTCAGAACTGGCATCTGATCGTGTAGGCATCTCAAGAAGACGCTTAGGCCATGGAAAAAGAAAGGCAGAGATCGGAGCTGACCTCTGAAGATGGGGGACTTAGGGGACAGATACTGTCACCATGGGAAAGGAGTATGTGTGCTGCCCCAGGGCTGCCGGCGAGCTGAGGAGACAGCCGGCTGCTGACATACGGACAACGAAGGAGGAGTCGATGGTCACTGGGTACAGAAGCTCCTTCCATCAGATTTGTGTTGAGGTCGCTACACCGCAAAATGCCCCAGAGATGCGAGAAGCCAGCTGGGTTCTGGGAGGATATATTGTGATCTGCTGTCAACATGACTGCCATCTATGTGTGCCGGGGGATCTTCCATTCAGCTTTGGATGTCATTCCTCATGAAACCCTTTCTTTTTCTTTGACCGGGTTTGATGCTTGTGCATCACTTATATTTAAGCTCAGACTTCTCTCTGAACATGAGGCGATAGGCAGTGCCTCCCGGGACCTGCCGGGTGCTCTGAGCTTGAGCTAGCTCTGCTCATCTCTGTGTCTGGACAAGAACATCCAAGGAGCCCCTTAGCTTTCGCCCCAGTATACCTTCCGATCGAGGAATTGATTTATTTCGTTGGTTTGGAAGCAGGTCTCATTAATCAAAGACTGTGTCTGCTCTGTTGCCCTGGTTGCTGCATATGATTCTGCTGTTTGTGGCTTCCTAGAGGTTTTAGGAAATTCAGAGTAGGAAAGAACATTCCACCACACTGAAGATTCCGTTCCACACTTTGAGGTGGGAAAGAAACTGCTCGCTCCAGGGCCCAGAGGAATCACCTTCAGATTCAGGTGGTGCCGGGTCCGAGCTGCCTGAAGTTGGCCCCCTGGGAGCTGATGGGATATATTTATAGTCAATATCCTGGCCTCTGTCCCGGAGTAAAGTGGGTGAACTTTATTCCCGACTCTGTGTCATGTCGTGGAGGGCTGTAAGGGTCACCTCTGAATGGTCAGCTGACCCCTGCAGAAAAGGTAGAGAACCCGTTGTTTGGAGTAGAGCTTCAGGAAGGAGAAAGAAGGGGAAGAGATGGAGATGAACTACAGGATCTGTCAGAGGACGATGCCTTTACTGAAACGTTACCATCTGGGTGTTTGACCCCAAGTGATCTTCAGTCCCCTCTTGGAAACTACAGTCATATGTGCTTTGCTAGCTCCACTTCTTTTCCTTCCTGCTGATGCCTCATGTTGTGCATTTTAGTGAAATTTTACATTTCTGACTTAATTTAAAATGAACTTTTAACACTTACAAAAAGATAAAAGAATATTTTGCAAAGGGATACAACTAATGTAAAAATAAATTATCAATACAAATAATAAAATATAAATGATGAAAAACTCCAAAATATTTATAAGAAAAATGGAGGGTAAATATCAGTACCATTAATTTACTACTGCTTTTAATTCAAAAAAATTAGACAGTAACAGAAAAGAATGGTAGGAATATGAAAAGAAACTTCCCCTACAGGAATAATACTTATTACTGAATCATGTCTTCATCTTTATGCTTTCTGTATATTTTGAATACTCATAAATAGGTGAACATTATTACCTGTATCATCCCAAGAGTATTTATATGTAAATGAATTCAATGAGAGAGCCCTGGGTATGTGAAAACATCTGGCCTTGATGGGCTTCCCTTCGCCTCTTTATCCTGTATCTATTCTGTTTCATTTTGGGAGGGAAAAGTGGAAGGTGAGACTCAGAGATGCATTTGAAACAGACATTCACACACAGGACATGCACGCTCACACACCCAGGGGTGCATTTATCCTTAATCGTGCAAAGAAAATTGCCAAGCAAAGGAGGTGACAAAGAAAGTTTGTTTCAAACATAAAATCTTTCACTTTTCAAGTATACTTTCCTGAGGCTTCTCTACTTCTGTCGGTGACTGCTCTAGTCTATTCACAGCCCAGCTTCCAGAGGGAACCATTCTTAAAAAGGCCTGATACACTGCCCCTCAGCCCAGCCACCCGCTTTCCTGAGGTGGGGCACTGTGTGTCCTGAGGGTCACGGACCATCTGTACGTCAGCTTACGCCTTCATCTTCCTCCAGCTGCAACTCAGCAATGTTCTTGCCCATGCAGAACAGCGGTGGGCAGGCACAGAGCCAACCCATTGGGTCTGAGACCCTCACTTCCGAGTGTGGCTGGCTGGGTCGTGGCAGTGTGGCCGCGAGAGCTGTGTCTGGTCCTTGGCTCCTTCTTCTCTGGCCCTGCTCCTGTGCTCTGGTTTCCATCTGTCACAGAAAGAAGCATATTTGCTCCCCACTCCCTTCTGCCGTAAGGTTTCAGCCTTGGAGCCAGCTGACCATGGACTGAATCCTCAACATGAACCAAATTAACTCTCAACTCCTTTAAACTGGTGCGTTTTGGGTATTGTCCAGGAAAGGAAACGCTGGCTGATAGCACAGATGTAGTCTCACTGGCCTGCTGGCATTTCCGACAAATAGGGGCACATTCTCCGCCGGATATTATCTTTCCCATCACTCTGTTCTGTCAGTACACGCTCCTGTGCTCCTTCTGGTCATTGTAGAGATGCCCCTCTGTGAGCCCTTCCTTGGCCACTTTCCTCTTCACCTCAACACACTGCAACACACTTATGTGCTTTCCTTTTCCTCCTTCACACGAGTCACTGACACATGCTTCACATTTGCATATTATTTATTGACTGTTTGCTCAGTACTTACTTTTCATGAGACCGGGGTTTTCCTGTTGTAATCACAGTTACCAGGAAAGTGCTGGCACACAGGATGAGCTCAGTAAATAGCCTGCCGCAGGACTGAACCCAGCATTCTGAGATCCTTAAGAGTAAATATATCGGATTTTTCTCAGTGTCTTCAACTACCATCAAGTTATTTTTGATCCACTTTTCCATTTTGAAACAGTATTCAAAAGCTGCTTTTGTCAATGTAGTAAAATATATTCAAGCTTATTAGTGCTTAATACATGTGGATAGAAAACTGAATTGCTTTGCTTTGATTCAATAGATCTTTCATAATTACAAACTCTGTAGTGAGCTTAGGAAAATGGATCTAAAATAAGACAGGTGCTTCATGTTGTAGGCTGCTTGAAGGTGTGGGAATCTTGATTATTCATATTATATCACTTACCTATTTATCCATAGGCACATATGCCTACAGTGACCGAAACAGCCACTACCACTTATGAGCCAGGAAATATGTGAAAGCAGT